CAGACGTGTGCTCTTCGATCTGGGGGGGGGAGTGTTGTTTCATCTTTAGACAGCACTGACTCTCCTGGTCGTTCCATCAGCTACCACGGGAGATACAGCAGACAAACCCTTGGGCCAACACAAAGCACATAAAATATCCGACCAGCTGAGCAGTCATTCCCTTTGGCAAGCTCACAGGACCTTAAGGGATGTTATTTGCTGAGAAGCAGCACCAAGACCTTAGGTTGTGCCAGTATTGATGGTACTTCATTTCTGCTTAAAGACAAGTCAAGGTTTGTACAATAATCCACCCAGCTACATATAAATTATATATCAAAGGTACATAGACCTAAATTGCTAGTGTCAGGCTGACAGGCACATTGGCAGGTTTCCCAGGACATGCATCACTGTTTGAATCTTCAGCATAAAATATATATACATATTTCACACAAAAAGGCAGCATTTTTTTCTTAGGTATTAATGAATTAGTCATCAAATTAGTCTAGCCTGGAGCTAGATTTGTATGTTGTTTGCCTATAGTAACACCTGATATTTGACTGTTTGAAGAATCCCACTGACACAAGGTGGCTGAGGGACCAACAGAGGTATTAATCACAAAGAACAAGTATATTGGAAAGTCACTCTGGAAGTGATGGCACCCGTGGTTCACACTGTGCGACGCAGAGAACAGACCTCACGTAGGGCTGCTGCTGTCTCCCCCCAACTTACATTGAGTTATTTTATTTTCACGTCTCCTAAGTGATCCCAAAGATACAACATTGCTTCTAGGTACCAGTGTGAACAGTTGTTCTAACAACACGTAAGTGGCTTCTCCTTAGATTGCTCCTGGTTTGTGCTGGAGAATCTGGGCCCTTCTACCAGGAAATTCATGCAGAACCAATTTTTTTCCTTCAAAACTATGCTGCATCTCTCCTGCATCCGGCACATTTCCCACATCAGCTGTAGTGAGCATTAAGTACCCGACGCGTGTGGACCTGGACTCGGAAGACCCAAATTAATTCCCAAACCCACCTTTCTCCCTGTTGAGCCACACCAGGCAAATTCTGTCACTAGAGCGTTAGTGCAGAGCCATGAAGTCAGTGCTCCTTTGTAAAGCCCCAAAAACCCTAAGAACCGCAGAAGTGCTGTACAACATGCAGATGTTTTCTTTTTCTAAGCAGCCACACAATGTTATTTTCTCCGTGACCGTGAGCTCACTGTGCAAAGGCACCGCCTCACCCGGGGCAGTGAGTCTCCACCACAGCTTTGGGTTCTGTTTGGTTTTGTCAGGGGAATTTTCTCTCTTCAGCATGAGGGAAATGGTATTGCTGCTGGTAACGAGTATTTGGGCCAAATCCTGACTTCAATCACAGTGATGCAAAAAATGGAGCAATTCTGCCAGGCTCTGTGACATTTATATCAGGTCAGAGGCTGATGCCAAGGATGGGGAGAACAGCTCAGATGTGGACTCTGCAGCCAACTCCCCGCCCTGAGAAGGGAGAGGAGAGGGGTAACGCAGCCACTGGGCAGATGTGCAGGACAGGGGGTCCCTGGGGGGCTCTCAGGATTCAATTAAATTCCTTTCCTTTTCTCATGCAGATCACGGGAAGCTTTGTAGATTTTTATCGGGGCTTTTAAGTCTTTGAGGGGAAGGCAGTCTTCAAAAGAAAGCTGGGACTTGCAAACAATAGCAATGCCCTCCACTGGTGGAATTTAATTTAAACTCTTTGCTGCAGCCCTGATTTCAGTGGTTGCTGCAAAGCTAAAGGCATCTGCTCCTTTCAACACCACGGGATTTGCAACACAGTTTTCTAGTGTATATCATGGTTTCTCTTATTTCTACAGCATTTGGAATATAAAATTTATTTTATTACTTTTAGCTTCTGAACCTAATATTGTTCTTTGTGAAAGAGGCAGGATACTCCGGACATTGTTTTCTCAAGAGAAACCTATTTCATATCCCTGCAGGGAGGAATGTTATCTATCGAGGATGTTTTAGAGCTCCAGAAAATTTAACAGACACCTTTCCAGCCTCTTTGATACAGCCCAATTTGACGGTGGAGATGTGCTCTGAATTTTGCTCCAAGAAAGTAAGAACAGTTCTCATTTCACATCCTTTCTTCTTTCCTTGTTATTTTAAATTTTAATCTACTAAGGGAATAGCAGAGATTAGTGCCTTAGAGCTTTGAATTTGTAAATGAGTTTCTAAAGGACAAAACTCATTAGAGTAAATGCCCAGTGATGCATCTGGTCCAGTCGGGCTGTGAGTGGGGAAGGCGGGAGGGAGAGCCAGCGGAGCGATGTCACTAAACAGAGGCACAGAGGAGATCCAGGAGGAGATCAATACCCTTTCTGTCTCACATTAAACCAAGCTCAGAGCCAGCTCTGGCCCTCGGGAGGTCTCGGTGTCTGTGGCCCATGGAGAGAGACACTGCTGGAGGGTGGACATGGGCTGAGCAGCACCCGAGGGGTGGCTGCGGAGGAGCTGGTCCCCCCTGCAGCCCCCTCTGCACCCCTCCAGGGCAGCCCTTTTGGCCCCAGGGCAAAGAGTGCACAGAGCGAGACCGTGGATTTAAGAACTGATGGACTCTGACGGACTGGGGAATCTTCCCAGGAGGGACCATTTGTTTAGTGGCTGTTGCTGAGGCTGGTTCCCTTCCTCCCTCCCCACTCCAATGGGGCTTGGTGTTTGGTATGGAAGAGGGTTCATGGCGTGGTCAGATTTAACCTGAAGCCAGATCCAGCCTCATGCACTAAACTGAACATTCAATTACTTTGTCTTCTAGCATCACAAAATTGATTAAAACCATTAAGGCATGAACAACAAATCTTCTTAATTACTAGGTAGAATGGGAAAGCTTTTCCCAGTCAACATACCCTCTATACCAGCTCATCAGTGTTTTAAGAATGCATCATGGAATTAACTGTGCAGCGAGTTGCAGTGAATCACCCATACACCCTGAACACAGCAGCTCACAAACAGCCGTACAAACATCTCACATCCTCTATGCATATAAATGTTCTGTAAAGCAGGACTTCATGAGCAATTCTTTCCAAGCTCTACCATTAATCCATTCTTATTCTTTTTTGGTAGATTGAGAGAAAAAAATTTAACTGCATCCAATAGGAAAGTTAGTATAGGAATTTAGCAGAGTAATCAGAGTAGAACCATTAAGTGCATTTTTAATCTATTCATAATTCTTAATTCAAACACAACCTAATAAAAAACAATTAGTGATTGAATCATCACATCATCCATGTTGCTATTGGAGAATGATTGCTCTCCTTACAGCACTTAAAACTCCCCGTTGAGGCTTCCTCTAACAAGTTCTAATGTGAACAGTCCCATTGACACCAGCTCAGGCTGAGCTGCAGGACGGACCCCGAGCCTGTCAGTGCCTGCTCCAAAGCTCAGCCCAGAAAAATGCTAATTTGCAGCCCCACAGGTTTCTCTGTCGTGTTGCCACACCAGTGCAGTGGTGTTTAATGGAAGTGAAGCATTGCAGAGTTGTGAGCCAGAGGACTAGTCCTGCTCCTAGGTTACACGGCTGCACAAAGCCATACCGCAGTGTGGGGCACACGTGTCCACGTGGTGAGCGGAGCAGCGTGTAGCTGTGATTCAATAGTGATGGGAAAGGCAAGACCGAACACAGCACTTCACAGTCATGTTCTGTGCGTCTGGCAGAGGCACAGCCGAGTAACCGGCCAGCTGATGACAGCGCTTTGTGGTGCCATGGATGCCAGTGCCATTCCCAGAACCAGAGCCCTGCTCCCTCCAGCACCCACAGCGCCGGGGGCTCCCACTCCCGTTCCTCCCCTCCCGCCTGCCCCTCGCTGTCCCTGCAGCAGGACAACTGCCCAACAGCACCCTACCCACCAGCGCTTCTGCGTTTGCTCAGGTCTCTCCACAAAACCTCCAGAAAAGTCCATCTCTTGCAGGTGGCCCTTGCCACGAGGACCGTTTTTATTCCTGGCTGTGTTTGAGGGCCAGGACACTTATTAATTTCTCAAACTGAGAAACACTGCTTCACTGTAAAGGAAAAATTTCTGTTTGCAGGCAGAAACAGAACTATTTTGCCCTTGGATCAAATCTGTAAATAGTTTTTGACAATGTCATATCTCATTCGCTAAGCAAATGTTGGCTGTTTGGGCACAGATGGCACATGTGTTGTATTTGACTCCTTATCAGAGGAGGAACACGTGGGGAAGAGCGGGAGATAAGCTGTTCAGCACTCCCGTCACGCACTCCCAGACTCCAAAAGACTTCTAAAAGGCAAGAAGTGTTGATAAGGAATAGGTGGACTTGAACACCCAGCGCTAGAATAACCCCTGGGCTTCCTTCTGCCACTCTGTAGCTGCCCCGAGCCCGTCCCTCGCCCCAATGTCCCTGTGCCACCGCACGAGCCGTCGGGGACTTTGGAAACCCAAGGGAAAACAACCACATCCCCCTGGTGAAAAGGAGAGAGACTGGATTTTAGGGTTGGTTTCGGCAAAGTAGTAAGTGTGCTTTTCCTGTTGAGCACATAAGCAACTGCTAATTTCTCTGGCAAACAATTAGCACTTGTTTCCCTCAAACGTCTCTTAGTTCCTATCACAATTAGCCCAGCCTCGCTGCTCTGCCGCCCTACAGCAACACTGCTGTGCAGCCTGGTGCTTGGTTTGGGGAAGGCTGGTACACAGAAACATGAATTACTTTTCATCAAATCCATTGAAATGTCCTACAGCCAGAAACTTTCCTTGGGAACTGTTTCTTTGCCATGAACACGACCTGTCACTCCCTTGTAGTGGCACATTTTGCCCTGCTGAGGTACCAGGTATCACTTGCAGGGGTCAGTCTGGATTTCGTAGGAGGTTTCCCTCTCTAGAAGGGAGGTAACTCAAACCAAGACTCATCCCCACCCGACAGGGGCTGTGGCACCGGGGGGGCTCACCCTGCGGCAGAGCTCTGTGCCCGTCCCTTGCTCGGGCACCGCGTCCTCTCTGCCCCCTCTGGAGCAGCCCCAGCCTGGCCACCAGCACAGGCCTCCAAAGAGATCTGCCAAAAACCACTCGTTATCATATTTCTAAATGGTTTTTCCAAAAATACACACCGTAGCTCTCAAACTCTGTATCAGCCCCTCTGCACAAGTTCATTTTTTGCAGACTGTGAAGAAGTCAGACCAAGATATATGCTTTTTTATGGCTTGACATTTTTCTTTCTGTTTTTAAACATGATTGCAGCAGTTAATGGGTCTAAATTTCCTTCTTCACCTAAAGTCTTTAAGTTTAGGGGCAAGCTTCCTACACGCAAACTCTGGTAAAATCAACTAAGTCAGACCTTTTAACAGCCAACTCTTCAGTTTGGGAGAATATAAAAGGAAGTTTAAAAGATGATCCAATTCATAAAGCTCATTTTGGGGGCAAATAAGAACAACTTTCCCCACACGGATGTTTTGCAGGTGGAATTACATAGCGGGTGCCTCAGGAATGTTATAACATTTTCAAGCTTTACAAGCCTTGTGTCTGAAAACCAATTTTTAAGCAATTGCCGTATGAAAGACAGCAGTAGTCTAAGGAGCATGAGCTTTACGATGATGTATCAAACACCGCTTTGATCTTGACAGTGGCCTTGTGAAGATTTATTTTCCTTTGTGCGGCAGCAGCATTCCCCACTGGCCGGTGACGCCACGGCATCTGGGCCCTGACGTGTTTTCCCTCTTTGGCAGGAGTTTCCCCTGGCCGTGCTCCGAGGGCAGGAGTGCTACTGCGGCTTCCCCACCCGCCGCTTCCCGCTGCGCCAGGGCGCCGAGGGGCTGCTCTGCGGGGGGACCCCCAACGCCAGCACCACCGCCCCCGGGAAATACTGCCTGGTCTATCAGACCCCGGTGCAAGGTACGAGCTCCCGCGCCCCTGGAACAGCCCCCGCGGCCCTGCCGGGGGGTGGAAGTGAACCCGGCTGCAGCAGGCTCAGCCTCCGTGGTCAGGACCACAACACAGGCAGGAATCTAGGAAACACCCTTTATCTAAACCACCCCTTGCAATCTCAATTGTGAATACGCATCTTTCCATTCCCTCATTAAGCAGCACAGCCTCCTCCCCCCCCAGAAAATACAATTATTTTGCAGATGGTGAGAACAAAGCAGATCCCGAGCCACGCAGTGCCTGTTCGGCTGGGGACGAGGACCCCCTACGCTGGTTCCAATCCCGCTCCTCAAACCCAGCCCCATGTTATGCACCCACCGAGGTAGCTCCACAGGCACTAATTTCACTCTGCCCATCTTCCTCTAAAATATTCATCTGCACACATTTCAAAGCTGGGAAATACAGCAGAGGAATGCTCCAATCCAGTAAACATTTTGGGTGGCACTGGCAACTTCATTCATGCAATGATTTGCACTGAGTTCAGTGACACTTCTCACAAGCTTAAAATTACACAAGTTACGTGCTTTTCTGGATTGGTGCTGGGCATTTTTTAACCCGACACTTCTTTTTTCTTCCCCCCCCTCCATCTCACAGTTCAGAGGTAGAATGCAGACAACAGCACATGAGAAGATCACACAGGAACATGTGCTTTCTTGAAATGGGTAGTGCCTCCCCAGCTGCGTGGCTCAGCAGTAGCCAGAGACGGTCGCCTCCGGGCTGTGCTGGCACCTTCCAGCCACAGCTTCATCTCCAGGCTGCTCTGGAGAACGAAGAGAGGAGTTTCTAATTTATTTCCTGTCTTCTTGTTGAATCATCACAGAGGGTCAAGACTGGTTCTCATCCTATCCTTGCTTTTAGTAGCATGCTAAGAAATGAGGTTAGGATTTAGGAACGCGTGAGAGGAAGCCAAGGCGTCAGCCCCCACGGGGATTAACGCAACGTGGGCTCGTCACCGCTGCGGGCTCTTTGGAGAGGAATTGCAGGCCAGAGGTTTAACTGCACGCCAGCTCCTTTCAGTAGGAGGGGTTTCTCCTGCCTTATAAAACTTGCAATTTCCAGGTATAATGGCACAATTAGGGTTCTGCTGCAGAGCCAACCTGCCAGGCAAATAGCCGCTCGCAAACAGGCATCAAGGGGCTTTTATCACAACTTGCTGGCAAGTACAATGGTTTGCTGCAGCTCTATCAAAAAAGCATTGCCTAACACAAAACCAGCAAAAACCTCTTCTGAGGATAATCTCTTTGGCCTCTTATGACTGAATTAATTTTGGGAAGTAGCTGACTCACAACTGGACTCAAATTGATATCCTATATTCATAGGAGAGAGAAAAAGCAGCAATAAACCCTGTAATCAAGAGCTGTCAGTGGAATTATTAAAAAGCTACAATGCTAACAATGAAATATCTTCTGTACCCACAGACACCCGCTGCACGGACAGGAAATTCTTAACCACCAAATCCAAAGTGTTCGTCGCTCTGTCAAGCTTTCCTGGGGCTGGGAACACGTGGGCTCGCCATCTGATAGAGCACGCCACGGGCTACTACACGGGAAGCTACTACTTCGATGGAGCCCTCTACAACAAAGGTAACACGTCCAGGGGCACAGGACACACAGAGCCCTTCTGAGGCACCAGCTCTGCTCCTCTCAGAGTAAGGGAGAGCCCGGCCCCCCCAGTGCCCACCCAGGGGTCCAGCCAGGGACAGGGTCTGGGGCAGCGTGGAGACGGGCACCAGGAGATGGTGCCCAACCAGACGAGGCCAACGAGCCCTGCAGGTCAGCAGCAGGACAAGAATAAAGCTCAGCCCTGGTCCCAGGGCCTGGGCTGATGGGTTTAATTGACTGGTACTTTCACCACAGTTTTACACCACTGTAGCGAATGATGTAGTGTGGAAAGGCACAGATATATAATCAAGTGAAAAAGCCAACAATCCTCTCGTCACACAGGTTTTAAAGGAGAAAAAGACCACTGGAGAAGTAGAAGGACTATCTGTGTGAAAACACATGAAAGTGGCAAGACGGAGATCGAAATGTTCGACTCGGCGATCCTGCTGATCAGGAACCCATACAAGTCTCTGATGGCGGAGTTCAACAGGAAATACGCCGGGCACCTGGGCTACGCCACCGACCGCAACTGGAAGAGCAAAGGTGGGTGCCCAGCACAGCTGGGACAGACTGGAACCCCTCTGCTGGGACAAGTAACACATGGGGACCCACCTGAGCCCTGCAGAAACAGCCAGTGAGACCTGAGGCCCCCCCAGCCAAAAAGCACTCAGACTTGCTCTTTGGAGAGGTGGTGGTGGTACCGTACGTCCCCCACCACGGAGAGGAGGGCAGCACAGCCCCTGTGCTGTGCCCACACGCCTGCACTGCTGCCATTGTAGCCTGTGGCAGAGAAAACCTGTCCAGGTGCAACCCCCCCCGTGTACAGCCCCTTTGACAGGCTATGGGAGGTGAAGAAAATTTGCCCCCGCAGCTTGTAATAACTGTGAGAAATCTAATTTAAGATTTGGAGGAGTCAATGGAGCATGACATTTCCTGAAGGAAGTTTTACAGCGCTGCACAGGTGATGCTGCACTGCAGATAAATGAGGATAATGGCAGTAAGGAGACATGAGACTCAGTGTTCCTTGAACAGATGAAAAGGCCTCAGAACATGCCTGCCCCGCTTCATACATTTGGCTGGCAAGCCGGGCAGTGTGACTATGAGTCCTCACCGAATGCACTGCCGCATTCAGGCTGCAGCAGAGATTTTCAGCTTCCTTCTTCCTTGTGCATGCTCTAGGCATTACAGCTGTGGGTGGGCAAAGCGGCAGTGCTGGGCTGGGGGAAAGGGTCCTCTGCCACAGCATGTTTCTTACCCTAATTCACGTATCACCTTCTATTAGTCACAACTCAAGAACATATTCATAAAAAAAGCCAGACAGAACAGCCCTTAGAAAAGAAAGAAGTCTGGAGGGAGTGGCTTTCCTGTGCTGCAAACTACAAACTATTACATTTCAGCCAAATACGCTCCTTGTCCAGCCCAAAAGCTTTAGCCAGGTCTGTCTTGACCCTCAGAAAATTAAACTATGACAGATAGCAAATAGAGACTGAGGTGTCATAAGTGGCCAAGGCAAAGGTGGGAAAATAATCCAGTAAATTTTGTCCCAGTGATCCTGGCAGGTGTCCCTAAATCCCTCCCATGTGCCAGGAACAGAAGAATCTTCCCCATTAATCCGCTTTCTTTACCCGTCTCCCCACAAGCAGGCTGGTGAGTGCACAGAGATACACATTACTCAATGGATTTGGAAATTGAATACGCCTTGGGCCCCAGCCAAGATCAGTGTCTTGATGCTGCATTTATATAATAAAAAAGTTAATGTATTATTATATATTATTTGTTTACATATATATTGAGAGGCAGGAAGCTCGGCAGTTCTGGTGCCTGGGGGCAGCAGGGTTGAGCTGTGGTTCTCCAGCGTGCCTGTCCAGCACCACCAGACCATCCCCACCAGGCCCCTTCTTGTTGCACAGGGTAACATTTGGAAAAGTGCTGAAAGGCAGCCTGACTAACATTGTCTGGTTTTCCTGGTTCTCGGTCCTCCAGAGTGGCCGGACTTTGTGACCAGCTATGCCTCCTGGTGGGCTTCCCACGTCCTGGACTGGCTGAAGTATGGGAAGCGCCTGCTCGTCATCCACTACGAGGACCTGAAGCAGAACCTCATCCCCAAGCTGAGGGAGATGGTGGAGTTCCTGAATGTGACAGTGACAGAGGACCGACTGCTCTGTGTGGAGAACAACAGGGATGGGAATTTCAAGCGGTCTGGCACTAAGCAAAAGGATTTTGAGCCATTCACCCAGGAAATGAAAGATCTTATCAACAGATACATCCTGACAGTGGACGAAGCCCTGAGGGGAAGAAACTTCACAGGGCTGCCCAGAGAGTACGTGCCAAGATGATACCCTGGTAGCACACTGCTGTCTTTAAAAATAAAATATTTTTTTCTAAAAAAAAAAAAAGACCAGAGCTTTATAGCAGTTAAAGCAAAAGATACTTGTGGAGACTGCTGAGCAGTGCAAATTCTTTCCACTCTGGGGTGTTCTTCAGGGCAAGCAGAAGGCTTGCAATGAAGGATGGAAATTGGGTTATAAACCAAGGCAAAAAGCTATTAGTGTCTACCTGTGCCTGCCCCTCCCTGCATAGACAGCTTGGAACCTCCCAGTGGAGCATCCCCACTTCTGCGGCACCTTCTCACCCCCGCTGCCATTGCAGACCTGCCGGGGGCTGCTCAGCTTCCACAGCAGCTCTGCTGGAAACGGATGTGCGCAAACAGGAAGGGAGGGGGGGAAAAAAAGTCTTAACCCTGATAAACAATTTTCCTCTGAGCATTTAAGAAAATCATTTGCTTTCTTCTCAGCATAGCCCACTAGCTCATCTCCTGGCTTCACTGGGCAGGTCACTGACACAGCAGTGGCAGAGGTGCAGGGGGGAAAAGCACCGGTGGGCGAGGGTGCCCCGGGTGCTGGGCAGGGAGATGCTCCCTGCAGGGACAGCAAGGCTGGGGCCACATGAGCCCTGCAGGGCAGTGGGCAGCTGCAGCATCCCCCCACGGCGAGGTGCACGGCCAGGGATCCATAGGAGAAAACAGAAATCAAGTGTGGTCAGGGATGGAAACCCCTGGGTGTCACCAGCCCCAGGACCTGGCCCCGGGGCCGTGGAGGAGACCCCAGAGGGTGGGAGAAGAGGAGCTGCCCCCTGCCAGGAGCTTGGTACAGGTTTCTGCAACTCCATCCCTGCGCCCACAGTCACGATGGGGCCAGGGAGACACTGGGGCCAAATGTCACCGCACTTGGTTCTTAGAGTGGGCACAGCCGGGGAGCACCGACACGAGCCCAGAGCACCTGGGGAGCAGAGGGGATGAGCTGCAGTGCAGGCAGGACCTCACCCCCCTCCACCCGCTGGGAGAGCCCACCCTGAGAAGCGTTAAGGTGCTCATTGCCGCTCTCCGGAGCCGCCCCGGCAGCCACGGTGCTTCATCTCCAGCTCCCCCCCATTTGTCTCATCCCACCCGTATTGGGGGAGCTCCAAGATCCTTTTGTTCATGTGAAATAAAGGATTCCTTAAAAACTGGACTGAAAACACTAGTTTCAATAAAACAAGAAGTTTAGCCAACCCAAACTATTCCATGATTCTATGATGTAAAGGGAGCTGGACTTCCTCTGCACGTGTATTGCTGATGCTTTAAGGGTAAGCACAGGGCTCGGAGCACACTTTGGCCCAACTCTCTCCCTCCTCACCCTCCACACACAGCTCACCTTTGTGCTCCAGACCCCCCTGGCCTCACTGCGGGGGTCTCAGCCCCATTCGCTGCTCCCCAATTCCTCCCCTGGCACCAAAGCTCAGGGAAGCCGTGCAGGGCTGCAGTCGACAGAGCTGGTTCACAAGGAAAGCCATTCTAATGAAACGTAGAGGGGGATGAAGAAAACTACCAAAAAAACCCCAAGCAGTTTCCCTGCAAGGCAAGTTTTTCCACACTCAACAAGCTCTAAGCTCTACACTTAGCACACTGAGCTTTAATTAACCAGGATGTTTTAGTCAGAAAAAATAAGCCATTAAAAGCCATGTTGACGTTCATTCCACGTACATTTCCCTTCTTATTTTGTATTCAATAGTAGCATTTTAGATATGGAAACAGGCATGCAATTCCCTCAAGCTTTCAGTTTCCTTCAGGAAGTTGAGGCTCTGATGAGTCATAAGCACCACCAGAATCAGAGATGCTACATCTGAAAAAGGAGAAAAGCTTAACACTTTTATGTTTCAAAGTGAACAACTTCCACAATAAACAAGTTGGAAACAAGATTCCCCATTAAATTGCAGCTACATTTTGCCCTGCTGCCCATCTGATTCAGGGTGGAGCTCAGAGTCACCTCCAGCCCCCCCCGCCACCTCTCACTGGCTTCTCTTCAAGGCAGAAATTGCTCACGCTTCCCATTTCTCTTCTCTTTCCACAACAGCCAGTGCTGAGACCCACAGGAAGACCCCACACAGACACCCTCCCCACCGCTCTGCAGCCCATGGGAGGTCCATTGCGTCAATGAGCCACCTTTCCCAGGTGCTCTGGTTCCGAAAAACCAGGTCCCTGCAGCTGACATCCCCAGAGGCCACAGGCAGTACAAAGGGGTAAACCTTACCAGGAACAGGGGGCATAATGGGAGGGAAAATGGTTTTGCTTCCTGGAAACCAACTGCAAAATGAGGCCTTTAAAGCTGCACTAAAAAAAAGTGTGAATGTCATCACCAGCCTTCGGGTGCAGTTCAGCCATTCTGCACTGCTTTATTCATTTTCCATTAAACTCATTTCTACTAAAACCTATTATTCGCTGCTAAGACCAAGCTACTACTCCACTACAGCAACATTAACCTCCATAAAATAATTAAAGGATGGATTATCAGCATGAGACCTTATGTGTCACCTCTCTGGAACCTAATGTGTCTTTCAATGGCCTAGAATATAATGAGATGTTCAAATATAGAAAGTTGAGTTACCGCTTTTCTCAGTTGTGACATTTATTCAGCCAGAAGAATCCAACTTCTCAACTGTGTTACTTATAATTTACTTTTGACCCTGGTAGTTGAGAGCAATCTTTAAGGAAGCCATACTTTTGAATCTCCTTTTTATATTAGCATTTAATTACTCTAACAAATTTCCAGATGTACAAATTATAATGGACTGTAAATCAGCTCTTGCCCTTTGAACCACAATGTCTCTTAGGATGGCATTTTTATCCTTCTTCATACTCAGACCAGCAATGTATCTATTTCTCAGCATGTGTTCTTGTTCCTTACACTTTCTATTTATTTTCAGTTAATTGTTCTCAGGTCAGGAGTTTTTCCTGTTGCAGAACCCATCCCACCACAGAATGCCACAGTGCAGTCACAACCTCCAGGCCTCCACTGGCACCATCACACTATTTTTCCTACAAATACAGCAACTCACCTTCATGTCCAAGGAAATGCAAGAAACATATCAGAAAGCATGTAATTTCTGCAGATGGGGCATGGTCATCATCAACAGACCCCTGTTTCCGACCCAGCCCCCCGTGAGAGCACAGCCAGAAGAAAGGCTGCTCCCGGTCACGTGAAGCAGTGTCACGCACTCCCATAAATGAAAAGAGATACGATTTAAGTGCATTATTAAAATGAAATGTTTCATGCAATACCTAAGATTATGTGATAAGCCCAAGTATTTTTACATGGAATCAATTCTAATTAATGATATCTCATTTCATCAAGCAGGTCTCCCCCCTGCCCCCCATTCACTGCAGAGCTGTCTCTCCCCTGCTTTTGGACCCAACTTGTCCCCTCCCTGCACAGGGGGGGCTGCAGCTCCCAATCTGGTCCTGCCCACCCTGGGGACACCAGGCGGGATTTTCCAAGGCTCAAGGCTGAGGGAAGCCTTGGCCAGAGCCGCTCCAGGTCCTGCGGTGGGGCAGTAACGTGGGGCTGCCCCCAGTCCCTGCTGCTGAGCCACCACAACGACCCCAGGTTTGCTGTCGGGAGATGCTGTGTCATTGCAAGCTCTTGCAATTAAGGAAAAGGATAATAATTTTTTCTTGTGGGCAATAGTGGAGAGATCTTTCAAGGTCAGTCCTGCATCAGCGGGGTGGGTCAGAAGAAATCCTGTGTAGCTGGAGCACTTCCTGCAGACGGGCACTGACTGGATTACAAGCAATTATCATAAAACCACCGCAGAGGCAGAACAAACGACCAGAGCCTCTGGTTTAAGCTATGTCGAAAGTCTGCATTAACCTATAATGCTTCTAAAATAAAGCACTTAGTACTGCCTTAGCAAAATTATACAGCTCATTTCATAGGAGAAAATTCATGTCACAATGGATAAAAAATACAGATAGGGAAATGATTTAAAGGGAACACCTTGCTAATGACGAGAACATTTCTTTGATGAGTAGGGTTATAAAGGAGCGGTCTGAAGTAAAACTACATCCTTCATGAAGCATCAAATATGCTGGAAAATAAACCAAATCTTCCATGCTGACTTACCCTATTAAAATGATGTTCTGGAAAATTGTCAAACGCACAAGTACGTGCACGTGTGACCATGCGGGTGGCCGGTCCCGTGTCCCTGCGGAGTGACCGGGAACTCTGTCCCTGCCTCCAGCCCCCGGGGGTGCCATGGCCAGGACCCCCAGCCTGGGGAGGGCACGGTACCCACGGCCGGGGAGCCCGGGGACATGGCTGCCGTTTGGCCACTGTGCTGCGGTGGAGTAGCCTTTGCTAAAAGACTGTGCAGAACATTTGTTTTCTTCAGAACTGTATTTCTTTCGCACTCATTTAAATGGATTCCACTGTGCCTGCTTTATGCCTCTCTCCATTCCAGCAGAGACTAAATTAAGCTTTGAAGTTTAGTGAGAAATCCCAATGGGGTAAGACTTCAATGCTATTTCCTGAATCCTGGGGAATTAAAGAAAGGGGGAGAGCAAGAGAAAAGAAACCATTTTTTTCTTTTATTGTTTCCTACAGCTTGATCCTGAAATGACTGACTTTGACAATAACCTTACACCTAACTTCATGCATAATTCATACATACTAAAACATGCAAATAGTTTTCAAAGGTTAAAATAAAATTCCTTTCCTATACAGGTTACAATTATTTAATATTTTTGACATACCGACTTACATCATTAATATTAAACAGCAGATAGGGGAAAAAGTGACCTGAAACAAGCGTGTACTTTTCTCCTCAGTACAGAACATCTACACACTTCTCAGAAAACTGGCAGACTACAGATGTGCACAAGGATTTCCAAAAAGGAGGGAAGAACTAAGGATTTTGATTTTGCATAAAACTGTGTAGCTGTCAGTTTGCCACTGACTAAGTACATATCTTGTCACAGCGTCTGTTTGTGAGGGTTTCCAGGCATAGTAATAGTCTTAGGAGATCAAGTAGTGGTATTATTTCAGTTTTCAGGAATAATAATGACAACGTAGTCCCAATTAGAAGGCAAACTAAATGTTTGTATTTGACTAGTACAACAACAAACAGGATGCACCTGGAGCATACCCAGTATACACTGGTGTGGACTGGTTTAGGCTGTGTCCCCCTGCATGTCAGAACTCCCAGAGCTACCTACCATGGGAACACCTGGAGATGCTGTGAAGTTTGGACAAAATACATGGGCATGCTCTTTGGGTAATGTCAAAGATACCATTTCACCCACCACTGTCACGATTAAATTCCCCCAATAAAGGGTGCACAGCCCCAAGCTCTCAGCCTGCATTCATTTCTCCTAATGCTCACTCAGGAAGGAGAGAGACAACAAGTCCTGCCTTTGACAACTCTTTCCCAGCTGTGACCAGGGCTGTCCCTAATTGCCAGGGACAGAAATCCTGTTGGGCTCTCCATGCCAGCCCTTCGATAGCTCAGAATATTCCCCGAGGCTCCCAGGTTATTATCTAGTGCTTTGTTTAGTCTGAGTTCTGTGTTGATGCCCGTGTAACTAGTACCCAAGCGCCTCTCAGGATAATTACATCCCTAAGAAAAAATCAATAAGTTTCATGGACTCCTCAGTTCTGCAGTTGAGGTCACTTGGGCACACCAGGGAGGGGTGAGGTACCAGGCATTAGATGCCAACAAGAACATCCTGCATCCTCTTCCTCGCTGGCAAAAACCGCCTATGGAAAACAGCCCTGTTCAAAGTGTCCCAAATTAACACAACAGACTCAGAAGAAAAAAACCCAGACACTGCCAAAGCAGCACTCATTGGAAAAGATTTGTTTTAGTTCAGGGTACAGTAACTTTACTATTTCAGACTATGGTTGGTTGTTTTTTAAGCGATTGAAGGTGAAGAAACATCCTTTCTGGACCTGTTTTCTTCCTCAGCCTAACTACATTCACACCCACCCAAACTGTCCTTCCACCTCTCATCTAAAGTGGTGGCAATATGAGAGAGTAAAGAGGGTAAATAAATGGAAGCCTCAAACTTCTTCTGGGACAGGAAACAAAATCTTCTGCTCATATCTACAGCAGTGTTAAAACTAAGTTCTGAGCTTTTTTAAACAGAGAGGTTTATCACAAACGCTTACACAAGCTCTATCAACCCACCACGTACAGCGGGCACAACAAAGCTGGTTTTAATGTACTTTCTGCATTATTTGACC